TTCTGGCTGTTTACGAAGCTCACCCCGCTCACGACGATGTTGTTCGAGTGGTAAATCGACAACGCCGTGGCGCCGTCACCGCAACCCTTGCCGGACTTTTTGCATGCCCAAAGAGGGGCTCCTTGGGCGTCTAGGGTTCCACCAATTATGGACAACCCATTGGCCATATGGAATGAGATCCACTTGTCAAGTTTGTAGTTTTGTGGGGCCACAAGTGTGCCACTCATTTGGAATGTTATGGACTTGGACTTGCAACTTGACCCTTCAAACGTCACACTACTAACCAAAAACCTCCCGTTGGGGACGACGACGACCGACGGCACGGCGGAAGCACAGGCGGCGTTCCACGCCGCCTGAAACGCCTTGTTCGCGTCGGATTTTCCGTCGGCGACCGCTCCGTAGCTCAAGATGTTGTACGTCGTGCCGACGGCAGACGCACATGTGACAATGGCGGCGGTGATGATGGTGGTGATGATGAGAGGGGAAATAAGTTTGCTTTTTGCCATGTTTGTGAGGAAGAAATTGAGAGAAAAGTGCTAAATTAAAAGTTGATTGGGAAGATTGGGTATAGTAGAAGGTGAACAAGACAAGGTATTTATAGGAGTTAATTGGCATTATGCATGGGGGAACACTTTATCTTAATGTAATTAATAGTACTCCATGGAACATACTGTCCATGATAACATGGACAATATACAAATCAATATTACAATAATGTTTCACTAATAATAGCCTGTATTTAAGCTCGGTTAGTTATTTAGGATTCTAATAATATTTCTTTCAATTAACATTAATAAAAGATTATACTCGATATTTTTATTTTAATGTTTTTCAACTTTTACCAATTTCTTTCAACATTTATAAAACCTCCAAAGATATACTCGGTATTTGAAGATTCATGAAAATGCAATGTTTGGATTTCTAGAAAATAAGATATAATACGAATTTGTATATAAATAGTACACATTTCTTTTTTACTACCTCTGTTCTCAAAAATATTTTCTCTTTCATTTTTTCCACTTCCAACAAAACACTTCCCTTTTCTATTAAAAAACCACTTTTACCCTTACTTTTTCATACCCTACCTATCACATCGTACTTTTCTCTAATAATCTATCCATCACATCTTACTTTTACCCATCACATCAGGGGCAAAATTGGAAATCAACTATAATTTATCACTTTCTTATTTTTGCCCCAAATCAAAATGGGAAGGGTTTTTCCAAACGGATGGAGTACTTTTTAGGAAAAAATTATAATGCAATGTTTGGATGTGTTTATAGCTCTTTTCATAGTGAAATTCAATAGCCGAGATTTCAAAACATTTTCGTGTAGCAAAAAAATAGTTGTTTTCATGTAAGATATGTGGAAGACATTTTGTATAACAAGTTGAAAATGCTAAATTCACCTGAACTGGATATATTGTTTCCTTCCAATATATGCTACAAGCCTCTTAGAGAATTAAGAATAAAACCTATTCTAAGCTTACATTTACAAATTTGAGCTTTTGGTTTAGTTACTTATTTGATATGATATCAAAGTCTTACTCACCAAGAAGTTACATATTCATAGAGCTGGCAAATCGGTCGGTTCGAGCTTGGTTACTTCGAGTTCGGGTTTAGTATATGTTCATCAGTCATGACCGAGTTTTTTGGGTTCGGGTCGATCCAACGGGTTATGGATTTGGTTTTTAAAGTTTTAAATTCATATTATTAACACCTACACTTCGCATTAAATGGAATTAAAATATAAAAAATATGTATTAACTAAATCTATTATTTTATTTTAAATTCTAAAGTAATTTTTAGGTATATAAACCAATAGAAAGAACTATGCATTACTTTTGGAAAAAGTAAGATAATTACGCAATATCATTAAAATTTGGCATGAAAAAATATATTTATACACTTAAAATGAATAGTAAGAAAATAAATATAAGTATAACCTTAGTTTTATAACATTATATTTCATAATAAAATATATGATCTTGATAAAATTTTACATTAGCGGGTCGGTCAGATCGTGTCCGGGTTCGGTCGAGTTTAACCCATTTTAAACGGGTGATTCCAGCTTTGGTCAACAAAACTTTTGTTCAAATTTTATAGTTTTCAAGTCGGGTTTCGGGTCAGAAACAGGTCGGGTCATTTTTTGCCAGGTCTACCAGTTCAAATATCACCACATTTCAATTTGAGAAACCAATTTCCACTTGTAAGACTCGAACAAAAACAAATCTCGCGTAGAGATCACAGAACGTACATGTTAGATTATACGAAGTAAAATCTTATGTTAGGCCAACGATCACAAGCTTGAGCTTTTGATTGATCATTTTAGAGTAGTTTTCCGTAGACATTTTAGAGAAGTTCATGTGTTTATTGGCTGATCCGGCATCGATCGATCATATCATGAGAGGGAGATATTTCGAGGACCAACAACATAAAAGAGAGGAGAAGGGAGAGAGATTAGGGTTAAAACATTAATTTCTTTATTAAATTGATTGATAAATCCATAGGTGGCGGTGGTGGTGGAGATGATGATGATGATGATAATACTACGATACCTCGGACCCAATTTAAATGGCCTACTTTGATTTATGATACTTGACTGGAAATATTTTCAAATCATTTTATACGAAAAATAGTGTGGAATTAAGAAATAAATGTTCATTTTTAAAAACTATATCAAAAGATTTACAAAATTAGTGGTGACATTACTATATTATTTTATTAAATGACTAATGAAAATGTGAAAAGAATGTGAATAGGGTATTACCATGTGAATAATAAACATGTCATTTAATTTGGGACGGATGTAGTAATAAATATAGTCTCGTAACACTTTTCTCGCCTTGAAAACCTGTCTTGTCTTCAAGTTGGAGATCCGACAAAGAACGAGGAAAAGGTGCGCTGTTCATCGTCCATTCTCCGGAGTCAAATACCCTGATCATTGGAGCATAAAAAAAGAATACGTCGGGCTGAAAATAAAGCAATGCCAACATTAATGAAACGGCTCCGAGCAGCCCACGGTAGGGTGCATAGCCCAACCCATTACTCATGTATCCATTTTGACCCATTTAGACGCAGACTACACTTGCATTGTTGCATTACAAGGGTTTGAAATTTTGAACAAACCTAGAATCATGTTTTAGTCACGCACATTAAATTGTAAACAAAATGTTGTTCAAAAATTGTAAAGTAACTTATTTTAAAACAGATGTTATGGATAGTAGAGTATGATATTTAGTAGTAATACTATTAATAATACTGCAATCTAATTTTTATTAGGTGAGCGAATTTATAAGCTCGTTTGAGAGTTACTTTTCGATTTCTTATCTCGATGTAGTTGTTGTACCGATAGACTAGAAATTAGATGGGCTAGGGTTTCCATTGTTCTGCTCCTGGGGCTTGAAGAATGCTCGAAGTTTTCTTCATATCCAGTACGAGTTCGCACCAAAGGACAATATAAAATGGGGAGCAATATATAGATAGTACAAAATAATCTCATCTCTTTTAAAATTATTTTATTTCTATTTACAATTTGGTATTAAAAAAAGTACTCCGTTCAAATTATATATTTCAAAACTACATAAAAAACTCTACTCGGAGTGCAAAACAATTTGTAAAAAAAAATAATTTTTTGTCGAAAAAAAATAAAAAACATACGAATAAATAAAAGTTATTTGGATGTCAGCGTAATACTCCGTATTATTTTGAGATGAGAGTAATAAAGTGTATATTTATCATATGCATCAAAAGTGCATATCATAATTTATCATAAAAAATAATGAGAGATTAAAAGCAAAATTAAAAAAAAAAAAAAACTAAACCCAGCCTCATCAAAAGTTACCGTAGTATCCGGTAAAAAAAAGCTACGATGGTCGGCTCTCCTATTATATTCTACCAAGTAGTATATTTCTATCTCAACTTTAATTACTGCCAAGATTAAAGGAACAAATTAGATTCTATTTGCCCCCTCTATCATATATTCTTCTTTTAATTACCCTACTTTTTTTTTTGTAATATTATAATAGCCTAATGATGGTTCATTAATGCCAAAAACTTTGTAATCTACGCGCATCATGGCCGGTGACTCTTTCATACGAGACCCATATGAGAGGTCACATTTTTTAACTTCAGTTGGGACATAATTTTGCATGCGCTTATAAATTTTTTCAAAAATTACAGCATTATTTTATTACTCTACAGACAATATTCTCTACACGCTTATAATAATAATAATAATAATAATAATAATAATAATAATAATAATAATAATAATAATAATAATAATTGATGGGTATATTGAGACCAACCCGAATCGATATAATTATATTTGGGATGGAGATATGGTCACTAGAATAGATTATAAGACATTTTAGTTGAAGAATATTAAAATATTAAATCCCGTCGCCCCTGAAATAAGTATTTGAAACAGTAGTGGCAACACGTAAAAGGCTACGAGCCGCTAATTCGGTCACATGACGTTGGGTATGGATTCTTTATAGACAGTTGGGCCTAAGAGTTTTTACCACTAAACATACTCTGATACCATATGTTCTGTGGAAGGACTCTAGAAAACAAATCAATTAATCTTACTGTGCTAATTAATCCAGACCCCAAACATTTAAAATCCAAATTTCTACGTTAGGCCAAGATATGATTCACCTAAAATTATTGGTTGGATTAAACTCGTTGAAAAATGGCGTCTTAATCCTGACATTGATCTCTTTTTAGGAAATTAAATTGTAATTCAAAACTTTATTTTTAATGGGAAGAGGGGAGGTAGGAGGCCTTTTCCACAATTTGTACTAATGAGAAGATGTTCTCTTCAATTTTATTCTTATTACTTATTACTTTTTTTTTTATTGAAACCAATTCAGTTCAGATTAAACATGATCAAATCAGAAATAATTTAAATATAACTATATTTGGATCAGATCAAAAGATATTTTAATCAGATCAGAATCATTTAGATCATGTAAACAGAACATGGTCTAAGATACAGATATGAAATGCATATCTTCTCATAGACCTGGCAAAAAGTGACCCGACCTGTTTTTGACCCGAAACCCGACCAGAAAACACTGGGTTTTGAACAAAGGTTATGATGACCGAACCCGAAGCTGATCGAACCCGAAATGACCCGCTAAAAATGGGTCAAACCCGACCGAAACTGAACCCGACCGACCCGCTAAAGTAAGAATTTTTCAAAATTATACATTTTTTTTACTCGTTTTTAGTGCATAAATTTATATTTTCAGACAAAGTTTTAATGATATTGCATAATTATCTTACTTTTTTCCAAAACTTAAGCATTTTTAAATTCCTTATATTGATTTATATATCTAAAAACTACTTTAGAGTTTAAAATAAAATAATTTTATAGCTTTAATACTTTTTTTTGATATTTTAAATCTATTTAATAGAAAATGTAATTGTTAATGTGAATTTAAAAATTTAAAAAATCAAAGTCATAACCCGTTGGGTCGACTCGAACCCGATGACACTGGGTCATGAACATACAGTTCTCAACCCAAACCCGAATTGACCCGAACCCGAAATAACCCGAACTTGAAGTGACCGAACCCGAACCCGACCTGACCGACCGATTTGCCAGCTCTATCCTCTCATATGGTTTTCATGAACTAATGATGATTTATTCCTTAGCTTTTTGCTTAAAACAATGCAATTTGTAATAAGATTTATTAATGAGTAAGAATTTTAAGGCCACAAAAAAAATTACCATTTACACTATCTATTTATGTTTTTTAATAAAAAACTCTTTTATTTTCAAATAATCCACGACATACATATTTAGCCATATATATTAAGTGGATATATTTACGTGGGTCCGAGGAACAAATGTATCAACATCATCATATATCATATCAATGTGTAATCTATCTATAATTGCCTCCATGGGTAATCAATTCTAAGAAATGAGAATAAAATCAAAACATTTATTTATAACTTCGTCTGGGTATTTATTCACTTTAATTTTTTTTGTCAAAATTGATAAATTTTAACTAAAATAAATTAAAATGATATAAGATATTAATACAAAAATCGTTTTATTAGATTTATTATATAAAATATTTTCAAAATATTATTTTATCTAATGAACATACAATACATATTTTATTTAAGTATAAGTCAAAAGTTACAAATACTTGATCAAAAATAATTAGAAGTGGACAAATATTCAAGACAATTTAGTGAGATATTGGGCAAATATTATATAATGATTGGTTAGATATAGTTTGGGTTGGATTTCCACTTTCAAAGGCACGCATGACCCTTTGCAGGAAAATGGCGTCCCCAATGACCCTAAACTAAAATATGAGGGTCTTTTAAGCCAACCTATACGGCTATACATACATGAACCATGCTACATTTACACGTACCTCATTTGTACACAACAGTTTTGCATAAATATTTTGATGATTTACACCAACACAAGTATTGGTGTGTTAACAAAAATTTACATGGACACAAATATTGGTGCGTTAACAAAAATTATTTTTACACCAACACAAAATGTTGGTGCAAACCTACGGGGTACAAATTGGGGTATAAATGTTGGGGTACACATAGCTTAATCCATACATACATACATACTAAAATATGAGGGTCTTCCGCATATTATTATTACTCCGTATTAAATATTACTCGGTATTATAATTGTTATTATTATTATTATTATTAATGAAGTGGCCTCGATCATTTTGGCACTTTAATTTTGTAAATGCCTCTTTTTTAGAATAAAAATGAGAGGTGAACTAAAGAAAAATATGTTGGTCATGTGTGTATCAATTGTCTCGTGGGAGAGACTATGTGGATCAAGTCACAATTGAATGTCTTGAGCGCTTTTGTGTGATGAATGCACCATAGGGTTAGGGTATGCGTTTCTTCAAGTACCAATTGATTTTAGAAGATTTGGTAGCGCCTGAGGTCCTACAAATGGTATCGGAGCCAAGGTCGCGAGTTCGATACTCATGGGGAGCGATTGCTAAGGGGAAGATTGTTAGGCATGTGGCTATTAGACAATAGGATCTGTAATAGAGTTATTAGTGTACAAAAAGTAGCAGTAATACTACCCCAGTGTATTTGTCCAGTTTGACTTTTTCGAGTCAAACCAGACAAACTTTGAATTCTAATTACTGTTAATTTATATTACATATTACAATAATGTAATACAATTTTGAAAATTCACAATATGATAAATCTAAAAAACTCAGTTTTATGTTAAAATACATTACAGTTTTTATTTAATTGAAGCTCAAAATTGATCTAATTTGACTCGAAAATGTCAAACGAGACAAATACACTGAGACACGAAGGGAGTAATAATAATAATAATAATAAAGAATTAATGAATGGGGAGCGAATCTTATCATTCGTAAAAAAAATCGAGACTTTAATCCCCTGATCAACACTAATGTTTCCACTTTTAGAGTTTTAGTCCATCAAAGTGGTCCCGGTTCCAATATTTACAATATTTTAGCTTTAAGTAAATAATAATATAAATATAAACAATAGACTTCTTACTCTGTTTTGGTGTTGTTATATTCGCTCCTTCATGATGGACTACAAAAACAATATTTCTAATTAGAACCATGCTAGGGTAACACCACATGGGTGCACCCATGGTAGCACCCATGTGGTGACACCCTAGCATTTTTCTTCTAATTATTAGAACCTCCGTCCCATGTTATAACGCTTGTTTCGGTTTACGATGTTTGATTGAAATTATTTTCAAACCATTTTATATGACAAATGGTATAGAATTAAAAAATAAAAATTACATATTAAAAAACTACATCAAAAGATCTACAAAACTAGTAGTGGCAATAATATTTTATTTTATCAAATTGCTAACGAAAATAGAGAAAGAAAGTGAATGCAGTTTGACCTTGTGAATAGTAAACAAGCATTATAATTTGGGACGGAGGAAGTACAAATTACAAACAGTATATCCATGCCAAGGACAATTAATGACAATTTTTAACTTTAGCTATACTGTAAATTTAATATAAATGAGTTCATTTCAAGATGTAATTTCGATATATCAAATTTATATAATACTCCGTAATAGTTTGTTTAATTTCTGAAAAAAACAAAGAAGGATATATAATAACTTTGTAACAAGAGATTAAGATGGGTGTTGTTGAGTTTTACACGAATTTCCTCATTTAGGCTAATTTTGTCAATATACGAGTATAAATACACAAAAAAGTTTCTTTTTAAGTCTCAGTTTGAAAATTTCAACTTCTACGGGGTATCTTTTTTTCTAGCTAATGAACACTATCAATCACAGTAATTCTGAGCAAACCGCGTAACGCACTTGGCCAATATTTTTACTTTTTTTTCATTTTTTTCAAAGCGTTCTTTTGGGGTTTCAAGTGGTCATTTTTTTTACCGCGTCAGAATCTTTGCCGTTAGTCATCGCGATCACTTGTCTGGGACGATCCCCTGCTTCTCGGATTCTCTCTCCAAATTGTTCTTCTTTTCTTTCTTTTTTTTTACTGTATTTTTTTTTCATTTTCTTGATTTGGAGTTAGACTTAGTGGCAATAAATAAAGGGGCAATAAGAATTTCTCCAAATTGTTGAAAGCCAGGAGAAAAGTTGGTATTGTTTCTTCTTGGGGCTCTATTCTCTTTTTCATTCTTCTTCTTCTTCTTCTTCTCGTTTGTGTTGGGGGTAGGAATGGAGAAACAGAGGAGTTTCAAAGGGTTGATGGAAAAGCAGAGGAGCTTTAGGATGGGAATGGAGAGGAAGACGAGGTTCGGGGGCGGCGGCGAGAGGGGAGGGGGAGGGGGAGGAGGGGGGAAAAGAGGGGACACGGCGCTGCACGCGGCGGCGAGAGCGGGGAATGTGGGGAAGGTGATGGAGGTTGTGCAGAGGTTGGGAGCGGCGGAGGCGGCGAGTCAGAACCAGGAAGGGGAGACGGCGTTGTACGCGGCGGCTGAGAACGGGCACGCGGCGGTGGTGAGGGAGCTGTTGAAGCACATAGACTTTGACACCGCCTCTGCCGTCTCCAACAATGGCTACGACGCCTTCCATGTAGCCGCCAAACAAGGCCATCTCGGTTAGCTAGCCCCCCGCTTTTCTTTTTCCTTTTTTTTACTTTTTTATATCTCTCCTTGATGTCTAACAAAATGGGGTGAAATGGGTTGGGGAATTGCAGAAGTGCTGAAGGAGCTGTTGAGTGTGTTCCCAAACCTTGTGATGACAACGGACTCATCCAACTCCACAGCCCTACACACCGCCGCGGCTCAAGGGCACGTCGACGTGGTCGACTTGCTCCTCGACACCGACTCCAACCTCGCCAAGATTGCCCGGAACAACGGCAAGACGGCTCTCCACACCGCGGCGAGGATGGGGCACTTGCAAGTGGTGAGATCCCTCTTGGGCAAGGACGACCCCACGGGCATAAGCTTTAGGACGGACAAGAAAGGCCAGACGGCATTGCATATGGCCACCAAGGGCCAAAACACAGACATCCTGCTTGAGCTCATCAAACCAGACCCCAAGCTTCTGTCTTTGGGAGACAACAAGGGCAACACCCCACTCCATATCGCAACCAAGAAAGGTCGTGCTCAGGTTCGTCATCGTAGTCTCTCCCTTTCGTTTTTCCGGTTAGAATATATAAAACATTTCCTAGACCTACAACCACAAGATTGATCTTTTGGTTAAGTTGGTACCATTGCCCTATGAGACCCTTGTTGAGCTAGAGGTCACTGGGTTCAAACCTCAAAGTCACCCTTACCTACAAATTCAAAGGCGTGTTTGGATGGATGGTTTTGATAGGGAAGGTTTTAGAGCTAAGAAGGAATGATGTTTTGTTTGCAGATTGTGCAATGCTTGTTGTCTGTTGAGGGCATCAATGTGAATGCAGTGAACAAGGCTGGAGAGACGGCTCTAGACATGGCAGAAAAGCAGGAGCAGCAGAGTCCAGAGATTGTGACGATTTTGAAGGAGGCGGGAGGCGTCCACTCAAACGAGAAGCCTCCGGCGGCTTCTGCAAAGCATCTCAAGCAAACCGTTAGCGACATAAGGCACGACGTGGAGTCCCAGCTGCAGCAGAGCCGGCAGACGGGGCTCCGTGTCAGAAAGATTGCAAAAAACGTGAAGAAACTGCACATCAGTGGCCTCAACAATGCCATAAACTCGTTGACGGTCGTCGCCGTCCTCATCGCCACCGTTGCTTTCGCAGGGATCTTCACCGTCCCGGGGCAGTACGTCGAAGAGAAAACCAAAGGGTTCTCTCTGGGAGAGGCCCACATAGCCAAAAAAGCCGCCTTCATAATCTTCTTCTTGTTCGACAGCATCGCCTTGTTCATATCCTTGGCTGTTGTGGTTGTCCAGACATCACTGGTTGTGACCGAGCACAAGGCAAGGCAGCAGATGGTGTTTTTCATAAACAAGCTCATGTGGGCAGCTTGCCTGTTCATCTCGGTGGCATTCATCGCGCTCACCTATGTTGTGGTTGGGGCCCGGGAGAGATGGCTGGCTATATATGCAACAGCAATAGGCAGCATTATAATGATGACGACGATAGGGTTAATGGTTTCCTGTGTGATCCAGCACCGGCGGGAAGAGGCAAGGATGAGAAGTATAAGGAAATCGGAGAAGTCGGGTTCTTTGTCAATTTCATCTGTGTTATCAGATGCAGAGCTTTATAATGACCACAAGAGAATGTATGCTGTCTAGCTCTAAACCAAACTTAACCGGAATCGGCTACCTTGGATCCTACACAACCTTTATATGGGGATGGATCCATATACTAGCTAGTACTGATATATAGTAACATTTCCACATCCCATTTGGTAATCATAGGAACAGGAAGAAGGTTTAAATGGCTGGTCTGGTGCATACTTGTCCACATTATATATATATGTACTAAACTAAAGGTTGTATTGTAAAGTGACCATGACAATCTACTGTAATAATCAATAATAGTCATATCTCTCCTAAGTGTGTCCCTCCCATGTTGGTGTTGGTGGGCATAAAATTTATGGTGTAAATGAATTGATGTTCTAAATACTCAGTGGTTTAAGGCTATAAATTCATGCTGGGAAAAAATGCCAAAGAAGATATAAATGTAATTCGACATCAAATTTTAGCATGAAGGATATGAGTAAATGGACTATGTACTATTCAAGACAATATATTCTAACAGATAGTTACTATATATTCACATCTCATCAAACAAATTCATATTCTTTTTGCTTTGCAAATAGTTCTCTTTTCCTTTTCCTCGCGAGAAAATGTGTACTTTTCTCTTTTGTTAATGTGGGAATGGAGGGTTTGGTTTACAAATGAATAATTTAAGAATGGCAAAGAAATTGAAAGTAGGCCTAATTTCTATAGAGAATGTCAAAAGGATGAAAAAATAAAAGTAGAATAAATACCAGGTTTTCTGAGCTGGACACTGAAGAGGCCAGGCTTCAAAACTAAAGAGCGGACCGAGTATTTACATCAGCATGCTATCAGGTGTAAGAATTCAGCTAATGAGAAAAGCCTCCTGGAATCAAGAGCACACTCTTGGGTGCTTTTGTCTTTAGCCTCTTTGTGCAGCAGCTTCATGGACCCCGCAGATTTCGCTGATCGTCAACGATATTATTTGCACTGCCTACATGCTTGAGAGAAGACCTCTGGTGGGAACTTCCTGTTCTTCTTGTGCTGCTGCTCCTCGTTTCACTGCTAATAACTGCATTTGATCCGGGAGAGAAGCAGTGGCGCACATGGAGTTTATGTGTTACTGACTCAATAGTCCGACTGCCTTCCACATTGATCAACAAAACTACTTCTTTATCTCTGGTGTCTTCAGACCACCAGCTTTGAGGAATTCCGTCAACAAATTCTTCGGGGGTGTGGAATTCATCGTGCCGCACAACGACCTCTACGGATTGGTCAGGTTTGATCATCCCAATTGCCGGTGAAACCTGCATCGTATAAATTTATGATTTAAAATTCATGCCAAAAAGGGGCATGCCTAAACTACAAACAAATGAACATCAAAGGAAAATGACCTTTATTACTACCCGACATCCATTTTTAGACGGACTTTGGAACCTATTCAATTCTTTGAAGTGGCCAATTTAGTCATGAATTCCAAATTTGATCAATGTTCTAGGCTTCTAGCTATATTTCAATCCTGGTCATAATTGATCATCATCAACGTGCCATGTTTACATCCAGTCAACATAGTTTAAGCACTCATACTTGACGAGTACAAAAGAGTGAATAGCGTGAGTGATTAGAATGTAGCATGCTGAACAAACTAACTTTTGATTTGGGCAAGGTTTGACAATTGGCTAGATTTTCAATCATACTATGCACTTAATATTCATGGCCAAATTAGCAGCTTCTTAATGAATTTACCAGTCCAAATTTTGCAAAAATGATTGGATTTTTATAGCACTTAACCCAAGACAAAAGAGAGGCTTTTATAGGATGCAGAAACTGAAAGTGATGGTCGTTGTATCAGTATCAGGTGTTGAAGTGCTATGGACAAACTAATGGAATAATGGAGACAAGGAGAAACCGGTTTTTCCCTTCCCAAAGTATAATGTATGCCATCCCAAGTTGCGTCAGATGGTGAATGCAAATTAGAACATCTTACCTCAAGCCAGCGAGGAAACCCTAGGGATCCTCGGGGGCGATAGTCTAATGGGTGTTCATCCTCCTCCCTGACTGTAGCTTGTCCTTTGCATAGTATCTCAAAGAAAGCTTTATCTTTTCCACTTTTGTTGGTTATTCTCAAATTGAAAGTTTCTTGGTTCTGAAGAACTATCTTGTCAGTGTTAAGCATTATATCTGGAACACAACGCAGTTCTTCCAGTGCCTCTCTGATCTTATCATTGTACTGAAAAATTTGCCCAAACTCTTGTCTTCTAATGGATCTATTAACATGGGCAATATCAACATTTAATTTGCATCGCACTGGTTTATGATCGCTTTCTGTCACGTCCATGAGAGCATCATACCTGACATGAAAATAGTTTGTAATGTGGTGGTGGAAGAAGGGAATCGATACCTAGAAGTGGTCAAGAAACTTACTGTAAAATGGAAGCTACAACAGGGCTCTCTAAACTGCATTTCATTGACGGAGCTGCACGGCTATCTCGATATAGTACCCTGTCACACCAGGCTGGAATTCGTTTCTTTTCGCCCGAATCATATCCTAAGTTTAAAGAGAGAACATTAATGTGTTATCTACTGACTGAGAAAACAATACAAAAGAACATTACAATAAAACATTAAGCCAATACCTCCAAGCCCTGGTTTCCCCCTTTCAAACTTGTATGTTGGAGGGAATCTGATGATGGCTTCACGCATCCCTTGAAAAACTTTACCAGCTTTCATCTCTGCTCTAAGTTGATCCTTTTCTCGAAGCCAATCAAAGCATCGTTGTGAAACAAAGTCCCTTGCTTCATCATATGATATTCCAAAAAGACGATAATTAAAATCACCACAGAAAGTGACCAGATCAGCTTCAGCAAGGTCAGGCTTTCCATCATCATGATTAACTACTGCAGCCTGTTATTTAAGAAGAGCAATTCAAATCAGTTGCCAATTGCTGAGTAATAATAATTTGAATAAACTAATTGAAGAGTATCTCCATACATTTGGTCCACGAAGCATTTGAGCAGCAGAGGGGACAGGAGCTGCATGAGGAGGCCCATGGAAAACCACAAGAGTAAAGAATCAAAATAATTATTCTAGGAAAAAACAAAGGCCAAGAGACAAGAGTAGATAATTAGGTTTTGCAGCGTACCAACAGCATTGATGTTAGAAGACCGAGTGAAAGTCATTGTTCGAAATATATGGTCAAAATCAGCATTTCTGCGATTGACTGCTTCCAAATGTGCTGCAAAATGACAGTTTGCAAAGCACATAATGCGGTCATATACTCTCAACTTCAAACCTACGCCACCCTGCAAGATAAGTTGTGTGATGATAACTAGCTATAATAGTTGTAGGCTTGTAGCTAACACATACGTATCCAGAACAATAACTGTATTAGTAAAAAAACCAGTGCAAGTTAGAGATATTAAGGTGGCAAAACATCAACATTAGGCTAACCAGTAAAAACTATTTCAACCCATTCTTATGTTTCATGAAGTGCACAAATGTCACAGTTGTAAAAAAAGCATTCATTACTACCATTTGTGTATGGTATCAAAGTTCCACATTTATTCTGCATACCTTGCAGAAATGCAAGGTACGGCTTGCCTACAACACACCCTTGTGGTGGTACCTTCCCCCGAACCTTTCTTAGGGGACAATTTGTGCACCGGACTGCCCATTATTCATAATACCATGTATTGTCCAATAAAATTATGTACCTCGATTATTTTGTCAATTTTTATGTTAAATCAATGTCCAAAGAAAGGAAAAGTTACAACCATAATATTCTCTGGAAATATCATACAGAGTATAATCTCTAATATCACCAAGTTGTGGGGTAGTGTTTTAACAAGGTTTACCTTATTACCAATTGCACGGCCCAAGCCACATGCGACTGCAGCAACATCAAGGTCCCCTATGTGTGTCCTTAGTGTCTTTCTTACCCTGAATGAAAAAAGCATTACCCAATGATAAGAGCTTATAGCTACACGCTTACACAAGACAAGATTACATTGGAGAACTGTTCCATTTAAGGCATGCATAATTCTTACCAGATAGTGATAAGCAAAGCAGCCAATTGCCTTGCACCAACGCGTTCAAAAGTTGGTCCTTCATCCAAAGCCTTTCCTATAGCGTCCTGCCACCATTGTCCAAGAGAACTTCCTTCAAGTCCTACCTACAATTGATATGAAAGGATTAGTAAAATTCTATAAATAATCATACAAAGTGAGGGGAAAATAAGATAGCGAGATAATACTATCTCACGCCTGCCGTGGGACAGTTTTGCTCCAATTATATTCATGTTCTAGTAACTTCTTTTACTACTATACCAGCATCACTGTATCAGTAAAAAGGAAAGATATCCTGCCATCAGACTATCAGAGGATTGTTTTATACAAAGATATTTAATGTTTTAACAAAAAAATATGTATAATTATTGCACCATAAGCTCCCTCTAGCCCGTGTTCCGACCAAAACCATAAAAGCACAATTAAATGATCAGGGGACCAATTCATCGTCCAAGAGATTGAGTTTAATACTTAAGAATGTGTAGTAAGAACTTACAGTTTCCTTTGCAGCAGACATGGCAAGGAATCCAGCACCCATTTCCACTTCTTGCAATCCAACAACTACAATTCCAACATCCGACACTGCAGAACCCAGCCATGCCATAAGTGCTTCTTGTGATGCCTTTCCTTGACCAACATTCCATGTTCCAATTAAAATTCGGATGCATTCATATCTGGTATACACGTCTTCTTTTTCCGCCAATGCTGGTCGTATAATATTATCAATGGGGCCTGGGGAAGCAATGCTCCATCCCCGAATGCCACCATGATTAGCTAAGCTAAAAATATAGTCGTTCCCAACTGCCATCTTTATGACAGGGCCGTTGTGAGCAATCCACCCTGCAAGTATGTTTCCTTCCAGGTCCAACACCTGCACCATCCCGCTAACATAGCCAACCCATATCCGTGATCCATGAGTGCAAAAGCATAGAACAGCACAATGATGGTGATGAAAATCTTGTATGCGGTTTCCATTTCCATCCCACTGCACAAGCAAGCCACCCGAACATCCAGTCCAGATCATTCCGTCAGAAGCAATTGTCAGTGCTTCTGTTTTCTTTGCATCTTCATTAAATGCCCCTGTCCCTTTAGTTGCAACTCGGCGAACAGCATCTGCTGCTCCCATTAAAGCGTTGCGAGACCGCTGCAGAAAGGTGGATTTTTCTTTTTTGCTTTTAGACACAAACTTAACATTCATCTCATCTTCAACTGCTTGTTCTTGTGCTGATGGAGCGTCAACTCGGTTCTCAACCTGACCGTCTACGTTATATACTTTCACAAGTTCTCTGGTCTTAGCATCCCTGAAATGCACACACTACCTGGATTATTAGGGCTAACTATATATAGCTTGGGATTGACAAAAACAAGCATGTACCATTTTTACATAAAACTCAGAATATAAATGGCATAACACATAAATGTGTCTATTTCAGTCATAGCAATCTCGTTTGCACCTTAATCCCAGTTAGTTGGGTCAGTGGCTAGAAAACAGTGTCAATAAAGCCAAGCCAAACAAACCCAATAAGTACCACTCAGAATTTTGATTTGGGAAGGGCGTAATGTATCCAACCCTTACCTCGACCCAATAAGTTGTTCCATTGAATACCCCATCAATACAATTTAGTGTCAATAAAGTCTCCAATACTCCCTCCCTCCCTCCCTAAATAGATTGCACTCCCGTGACTTTTAGATTTACTTTATTTACAAATTAGTATAGAAATAAAAAATACAACTTACATACTTAAAAACTACTCCGAGTACATCAAAAGATCTACAAAATAAGAGCTGACAATAATATCTTATTTTATCAAATAATCAATGAAAAGATGTATATAAATAAAAATTATCTGGAGACGAGAATAGTAACTGACTAACTGGTGCAATCCATTTTGGGAAGAAGGTAGTATTACTTACCACTATAAATTCATGCACGCAAAAAATAAACCATATTATGACTTATGAGATATGCCATTCATGTCGAATAATGAAATGAAACTTCAAAATGGTCACCACTCCTATTCTTGGATTATTAAGAAAATATGTGAAACAGTGATGAATTGAGACGGACAGACGGTTGATGTAGTCATGTCTCATTGCAAAATTGATATTGTAAAATCTACATGCACTCATGGAATGGAACATAGCAATCATAACAAACGATAAACCACTAGACCAAGTGTTTGAATATATAAAGGCATACCATAATGAGAAGGATAAAGATGCAGCTGCCCACACCTTAGCTCTAACATGATCTGACAACAAACACTTAACCTCAGAGGATGAGATACTACAAACACCATTAACAGTAACTTGGCTCTTAAGATCAATGCTTGACCTCTCCACCAGTAATGCAGCCATATGTCTTTCTTCTGGAGAAAGAGAGAGTGATTTTTCAATCGCTTCCCATGGCCAGACCTTTATTATTCCTCCTTCAGAACCCGACCATATATCACCTGCTCCATAAAGGAATCCATAAATTTCATGCCATTAGTGTGTGTGTGTGTGTGTATGCTCTATTGGCATTACCAACTCTCTATAATTGAAGAAAGTTAAAGAAAAAAGGAGATAGAGGCACAGCTTTTCATCATAGATAGATGTAGTAAGAGCTGAAGGAATTACCATAAGAAGTAATCACCATGGACAGAACTGGACCACGATGAGCCTGCCAAGACAGGCCTTCCTTGAAAGGAACATCATCATAAGGAAGGTCCATCTTCCATGACCTAATCTTGCCATCCTTATGCCCACTCCATACCAACCTACTTCCCTGATCAACCAGCAAACACAGTGCTGGAGATGTATTCGCAGACTCATAAAATGGTGACGCATCCTCGTCCCCTCTCTTGGCTCTCCCACCCACCCCTATTCCCGGCTCGTATGCATCAGAAAACTTCCACACTCTCACCCCGCATTCCTGCCCCGCCCATAGCTGCGTCTCTGTGCAAGCGATCGACCTCAAAAATCTCCCCACCTGCAATTCAAACCGGGAGCGTTATGTCTTCCATCTCATCTCAACACTGGAAAAATTCACGATTTCAAAATTAATAATCCAATTGCGATGTTCCTAATTCCGGGGGTAATGATTTAGAATAGAATAAGGCTTCCACCTACCTGGGTTTCTCTGAGAGGGTGAGGCCTTAGCTCGAGGCAAGGCGGACGGCCCGGGTGCACCGCGGCCCGCGATGGGGATCTGAAAATCCCCGTGGTTCCCCCAGCCCCGACGAACTCCGGAAGCGATTGCTGGTACGGCAAATCATCGGACCCGTCAGCGGTAGGGCTATCGAGGCTCTGGCTGAGACCGGGGTAGTCGTAGCGCTCGCTGCCGCTGCCGCCTGCGCCGCTGGTGGCGCAATTGTTGTTGATGGAATAGGGGTAGAAATCATCCTCGTCGTCGGAGTTTTCGTAGACGGCGTAGGAATTGCTGGCAATCTTATTAGGAATGCGGTCGTCGTCGAGGCTGTGCTTGCGGAACTGGTGGTGGCGCTTGTGGAGGGTCCCTGTGTTGGTCCGCAACTGCTGGCTGTAGGAATGGGCCTTCCGGTTGGGAGGAGAATTGGAGAGCCCCTCCAGGGCGTTCCGATCGTCGTCTCCGAGCGGTCCGTCCATATAGGGCCGATCAAATTCGCGCGCGATTGCTTCAATGCGAACGAAATCTTCCAAATTCCGCTCAGTTTTCAGATTATTTTGACAAAAAACAAAAAAAAATGGGGAAATTGGAATCGAGTATTGAGGAACAGATCGGGAGAGAGAGTGGAAAGCGTCAATAATCGGAAAATGTGTGCGGAGGAGAGAATGGCGGAGGGGTGGTGGTGGGCATGCATGGATGGATGGGTGGTGGTGGCGCCAAGCTTTTTGGGACTTACGAACTCTTTTGTGGGCTAAGATGTACCGGTAAATTTCCTACGTAACTTTAGCTGGAAAGGGGTACCTGAACTTTAAATCCTTTCACAAAAATCCCTGAACTTACACAATTCTTTCACTAATGAGCCATTAGCCCGTTTCTAGGTTAACTTCCGGTCATTAGGGCCAAATTTGAATTTTATATATTTTAAAATGGTCAAAGTCGCCGGAAAATGAACTTTTTCCGATTCCGGCGGGACCAATGTCATTCTCTTCGCCTTGAGACGAGGATCAATAATATCCAAACCATTTTGTCTAATTTGGCCTGTAACTTCTCGAATCTGAATTTTTCTACTCGAAAAAACCCTAAAATTCGAAATTGGATCCAAAATTGGGGTCCTTGGAGGTCGCCCGGATGCCACGACCGCATTGGAGTTGGTGCCCGCCGTCAATTTCGCCGGAAAACGCTCCGACCCGCCGGAAACCGCCGGCGGGTCGGAGCATTTTCCGGCCAACTCCGGCAATTTTGGATTCGAGATTTGCAAAACCCCCAATTTTGGACCCAATTTCGAATTTTAGGGTTTTTTCGAGTAGAAAAATTCAGATTCGAGAAGTTACAGGCCAAATTAGACAAAATGGTTTGGATATTATTGATCCTCGTCTCAAGACGAAGAGAATGACATTGGTCCCGCCGGAATCGGAAAAAGTTCATTTTCCGGTGACTTTGACCGGCGGGCGGCGGCGGCGGGGCGTGGAAGAAAAGAAAAGAAGAAATGAGGTCAAATTGAAAATTTTAAAATATATCAAATTCGAATTTGACCTTAATGACCGGAAGTTAACCTAGAAACGGGCTAATGGCTCATTAGTGAAAGGATTGTGTAAGTTCAGAGATTTTTGTGAAAGGATTTGAAGTTCAGGTACCACTTCGAAATTTCAGCTAAAGTTCAGATACCATTTGTGAAATTTACCCTAAGATGTCCGTTTCATTTTTTAGTTTTTGGAAATTTTTTGGCCTTTGATTTTGTTACCCTGTCTCTCAACTTCCAAGTGCATTTTTAATTTTAATATAGATGTATTATTTGTTTTTTTCATTTTAATGTAGATGCATTATTTTTCTTTTTTTATTGCGTATATATGGTTTTGAACTCTTCTTAGATATTGAAAATTAGTAAAACAGAAAATGGTGAATATATCTATGATCCATAACTTGATTTTTTGAAATAAAGGAAATGGTGAATAGATTTAAAATTAAAATTTATTAGTTATTTTATAAACATAACCTTTATATAAAGTATGTTACAATAATGAAAATGTCATAAAATTAGTAATTATTTTAGAAAGAAAGTCAAAAGATTAGGAGATGAAAAGTTTATAAACTATAATAAAATAATGAATATTTAATATAAAATCTAATATGCAAACGTGGCATGACATGTGGCGATAAGGAACACGTGTGGCATGACATGTGTCACATGAACCTATATGTGGTATGACACGTGTCGTCACCACAATTAAGTCGCTTAGCTTTATATATATATATACTAGTATTTCTACCCGTGCCACGCACGGGTTCGGATGAAATTTTTTTCGATTCTACCATGTGGATTTTGATTTTTATTTGACATATTATTTAAAGGTCAAATATAAAGGATCTAGGTTTGATGTATTTCTACAAATCAATAACTTTTCTTCCTATATAAATTCAAAGATATATTAATACAAAAAGTATTAGTGATCTAATGATTCTTTTTCCTCACACTAATTTAAAAAACCTAAATTACCGACCTTATAATTATATACTCCCTCTGTACCTGAGTATTTGTCCACTTTTGACTGTTTTTTGTCAAAATTGGTAAATTTTGACCTTAGATTAAATAAAAATGATATTAGATATTGTTACAAAATTAGTTCTATTTGATTTATTTTATCAAATATTTTCAAAATATTATTTTATCTACTTATTGTATAATATATATTTTATTTAATTATAAGTCAAATGTTGTAAAGAGATAATCGGAAAAAGTAAAAAATTCTCAGGGACGGAGGCAACTACCCCCCCCCCCCCCCGCCTGCAATTATTATAAAAAATTATCATTCTTTCATGCATTATTAAAAAACCAAATGTTAAAAATTTTCTCTGTGAATAAAAAATTTATTTTTAAAATATTAAGAATAATTTATTTTTCTCCCCCACATTGATTTTAAAAAACATTAAAATGGTAGTGCTCCAATTATTTTGTCGGAATAGTATTCTGGCCAAGATATAAAATGTTCTATCAAAATACAAATAGTTACAAATTGGAAATTGTATTTTCTTTGATGTGGTTGTAATCTGTAATCGAGTCTCGAACTTATTAGCTATTGCACCTTGAATTTTCGCATAATTTTTCTTATTTTTTTGATTATCCTAGCTAAATCTTCATTGTCACAAATTTTCTCACACTCCCCTCCATACCTTGATCTTCTTTGTCACAATCTTCTTTGCATAAATGTGTGTCATCTCATAAAATATCATCCTATAAAGTTTTCATGTACGATAACATAAATGAAAACGTAGGAAGTAAGTCCTCTCTCATTCAAAATTTCTTAATTTTATGTATAAATATTTTGAATTGTAAAACAATATAAGTATGTATTGAGTAATTCGTAAATTACAATATAAGATTATTTCGATTTAAATTGTAAATCAAGATACCAAGATAAAGTATAAAAGTCTTATTTAATCTTTTTTCTAATTTGTTTATTTGAAATATTCAATATTTTAAAAATAGTCAAATTTTATGGAAATACTATTATTTCATATCATAATTAGTCATCTTACCATAAACAAAAGTTCTAGGTAAGATATGCATTGAGTCAATTTCATAGAATACGTATTATCCATTTGTCTAAAAATAAAGTACACAATCACGACACGTATAATTCTCTTAGAAAATATAGTCTCAAGTCTTTTAGTCATCTAATTATAAATTATAAATTTCTTTGAGTATTCTCAAAATAGTCTTTTCGAATAAGCTATTTTCCAAAATCAGTGTTATTTAACATTTATTATTAATGTAGTAATTCATAGTTGAGATTTATTCACTCTGTGTCCTTCATATATGTTTGTTAAATGGATGTTCAGTGGATGAAATTTAGGTATTTTCAACATTTAAATGTAGAGCAATTTTTCAAAATGACCCTTTCGGATTAACCCTTTTCAAATTTAGGTCTCCATTATAGTAATTATAATTTTATCTCAATTGTGCATTTAAGGGCACCTTAATATTTTGTGTCTCTCTATTAGCCACTCATCTTCACGCTAGTAAATTTCGAATCAGAATGACCTCGCATCCGATCCCCACTTCATATCTATGTAGAATTTTGATAAAATTCACATATGAAAAATACATGATTCGTTTTTTTGCAAATATTATTTTGTTGTATATATCCCATGCAAATAGTTTTTTGTGTTTTTTTAAAAAAGTAGTAGTTGTGACTTCAATGAAGTCAAAAGTGAAATACCTATGATTTTTTTTAAATGTTTTTGTAATTTTTCTTTGTGAAAACCCTTGCAACTATATTTGTTTTGCTGTTTAAAAATAAATTCATATCAAGTGAAAAAAATTGGATGTAAAATACATGTGATTAATTTTACATGATAATTTTTTCAAATTTTTATGTGAAAAATGTAACTATTATTTTAGAAGTTGATTTTAAAAATTTATACGATTATTTTAATTATTTTAGAAGTCGATTTTATAAATTTTTAATCAGAAAAAGGAATTTTAGTTCTCACTCAATTGCATAAAATTTTACGTAGGCTCTAATTTCTTCAATAATACTCTCTTTGTGTTTCAACTTGATCTTCTCAATTGACTTTTCTTGTCAATTTTGTATATTTTAACCTCGATATATAGAACAAACATTGTCTTTCGATAGAAATGGATTACCAATAACTTTTTTTTGAAACTAAGGAATCTCTTAATGTTTGGTAGCTCTTATTTTGAAGATAAAAAAATATGCATTTTTATTTTGGTATTTTCTCCATGTTTATTCCTATTCTGGTACAAAGTGTTTTTTCCAAAAATATATAGCGACACTGTACGTAAAACATATACTCCGTATACAACTTAAATTAGATCTACCCATATTTTGATTAAAATTACCACGTCATTCAATCGTTAATAATTGGTGGGTGATTTGTTAAAATGCTTACATGTAGATTCGCCACTTGTCGCAATTCTAGGAGTTTAATTCTCAAATTTAATATATATATATATATATATATATATATATATATATATATATATATATATATATATATATATATATATATATATATATATATATATATATATGATGTATAGAACCAAAGATAAGACTTTAGATAAGAGTGTCTGGCATCTCAAATTATGTTAATAGTAAGGGTTGATGTAATTGATTTGTCGAAAAAAGATATCGAATTCTTACATTAATATCTCTCAAATCCAGGAGATATCAAAATCGTTTATTTTGAGGATTTGTGATGCCAACACTATATTTGGTTCAAGGAATTTGGAAGGAAAAAAAAAAGAAAATAATTCTCTCATTTTCCTCACAAAAATGAAAAGAATTTGATTTTCCCTTCACTTAGTACATTTTGACTTGACATTTTCTTTTCCTTCCACTTTTTTGCGTCTATATTTCCTACCTATAACTAAATAAAAGAAAAGATTCTTCAATCATCTCACATCCCAGAAGTGCGTGATAAATACCGTCAAAGCCCAATACACCAAAGGAAACTAAATAAACCTCAAACGCGCTTTATTGGGCGAGTTTGAGACCAAATATAGAACATCAAACTTGTCTCACCATGTAAAGCAAAAACTCATGAAGTAGCCCTTGTTGCAACTTTACAAATGGAGCCTTGAAAAAAACATCCAAAAGCTTGGTTTTTGTGCTCAACTCACCTCACCATTGTGCTTCCTCAAAAAAAAATGAAACCCAACAAACTAAAATTTCCATTTTCCAACAAGCATTAAATTAGAGCATTTAGAATAGTACAACGCCGCAGAATATTGTGTCCAAGTGCATGCAAAAACGAGTTAGTTCTAATACAATGTCACGATAATCAAAATTGTTCTATGACGAGCATAGTTTACCCGTTATGCTACTTCTGTAGCTTGTTTCTGGGTTCTAAGCCCAAACAAATTCTCGAACAACTTTGGGGCCATGGGTGGCAGGTCCATCGGCTGGGGAGCCATGAAATTCACAATCTTTTCATGTACATTGTATCTGCATAAGATGCATTTTGCACGCTTAGTAACTCATCTAAATAAACGTTTTAAAGGGACATTAACTCATAAGTTCCTATTTATTAGGAATTAATAGGATATCAAATGAAATATATGGCAAAATGGTAGTGCACTCGACCCCGTTTGAGGCAGTCTAATGGTCTTCACAGGAGCTTGTTTACCTCCACAACCTAGGCTGATTGGCCTCCTTGTGGTTAGGGTTACATGGTAAGGATTTACCCAAAGCGTTCTTTACCGGTTAGGGTCACAAGGTAGGGATTTACCCAATGTGTCACTTTTTGGTGTAGCAGTGGGTTCAAAGTTATAAAAATATTATTAAAAGTAAACTGGTAATAATAATCAACTTGTTACTGACCTGATTTTCCGACTCTTTGACGCTCGCCGGTCAACAATTTTCCTTTTCTTCGTTTGCAGTCTTTTCAAAGCGTAAAATGTATTCTCTGCAGACGATAAAAGAATACCACAAGTCGTTTGAAATAAGACAGTAAGTTTGGGAGGAAAAAAAAAAATATTTTAATTCTCCAATGTAGCAACACCGATTTGATCACTGAATGAACAACTAAACCATTGCGCCAAGGATTGCCCTCTAAATACATGTAAACTTTTATTGAAATGTTATACCCCATCCATCTCATTAAAGGGGTCCTCTTTCTCAATATATATTTGTCACATAAAAAGAGTCCAATTTGAAGGAAGATGTTGATTTTCAACATACCAATTGTTTTTTAAATAAAATAAAAGTATGACAAAGAAGATAGATATGTTAAGTTTAGTTAAACAAACAAATAAAAATTGGAAATATAATTATACCAAGTATTTGATGATATCCACTGGTTGTACCTCCCCAAAATTAAAGAGTTGTTCATTGGAAAGTAAAGCAATGGTCATTTACTCATTTGTATTGGAGAATCTTACCGGATGTTGACGGATCAACTGAGTCAAAAAATTCCTTGAGCAATTGCTGATAGAAGTCAGAATCGTCCAGAAGTTCTGGGCTACCATCCGCACGTATACCCTGATCATAAAGGTTATGAATTAAACGAACGCACAATGCGCACACACGCACTCTCTCTCTCTCTGTCTAAATATTTTATAAAATACCCCATAAAAGAGTCCTAATTTCCTTTTTGAAACATCCAAAAAAAAGTTCCTTCTTCCATAAAAAGAACTGTTTATAAATTGATTTATCTTTTATGCCCTTTACTTTTTTCACTATTTAGTATTTATCCTTTATTACCACCACTCTACACCGCTTTTCCTCCATTGGAATGAGGGTAATACTTGAAAGTCAACAATGTTTATCACTTTTATGAATCTCAATGTCCAATCAAATGAGGACTCTTTTTTGGGACGAAGGGAGTATTTAAGTTTAAGCATTCATTTGTTTTGTATATATATCACATGATAAAATTTAAGATATTGAGATAGTTAAATATAATTCACGAGAAATATTTGCAATCAATAGTTAAATAACAATAAATCTATGCTTAATATAGGCGAAAAATATATGAAGCACACTAACGTACTCCATAATGAGCATGTTGGCTATATAAACCATCATGATACTACAAACCTCATGAAGTTATTTGAAGGATTTATTTGACATGTTAAACTCATTTCTTAAAAACTAGATTTTTAAGAAGACAAACATCTAAACTTAGGGAATACAAAGTAAAAAAGATTTTGGGCCGGTTCCCTATTTCCCATTATTTTTTTCCTCAAACTTTCCTCTCATTTCTTTTTCTAGCATTTTACGGTTTCCAAAGAGACCATAAGTGAAACTTATGCAGAAAAAATGGCACTAGAATAAGGAAAACAATCTCACTAGGAAGGTATTGCATGGTACTTAATAGTGATTTTTTTTAAAATGTACCTCTTGCGTCGTTGTAAGATCGGGAGCCTGACAGGAGAAAAGGGATTAAATCCATGAATGAAATAGAACTACACAAAGGGATAAAAGAATAGTAAAAAAGTAAGATAGACTTACATTTCCAAATAGAGCTACAGCAGATGTATTCAACTGCATGCCATTTATCATTTTACTTGGATCCCTCATGTAATTACTCACTTGTTGACTGATACTCTGCAATTAATAAATAATAAATATGAAGAGCATATACATTCTTCCACATATTTAAAGCCAAAAACCTCAAAACAAACCTGATTAAATGCATGTAATTTGCCTTTAACAGCAGCGGCACCTGTTGTTACTTGTGTCCTCCTCTGCCATTTGTCTATTGACTTGTCTCTAAAAGATGCCATTCTTTCCTCGATAACAAGAAATGCACGAGGAGCATTAAATTACGTAAATAAAATAAATAACGAGCTACAATGCTACATCAATCCTAAAAGAAGAGTCTTGTTAGGTCAAGGTACAATTAAATTTTTGCAAGCTACAACTCTTTCCATGTATCCTTATTCCTTACACCAATATTATTAAAAGTAATATTTTGTCTTAACTAAACTGTCTAAATTTATTCTATTGAACGCATTTCTATCTTTTTTACATTCCATGATAAATTAGCTTCACGTTATTAAATATGAATCCTTTTTTGGAGCAAAAAAATGATTCTTTAAATGTGCAATGTTTATACTATCTCCAAATAGAGGAATTTGGATTGAATGGATGGGGAAGGAAAATATTTATAAGATATTCCCTTTATTACAATTTTATAAAATATATATTATATATCGCCAATATTATCCCTACAAATGTACAAAATTTGTACAGTTTCACTAGTAGATGAACTAAATCTAAAGTAATCAGTAATCACAGTACAAGTGTAAGAGTAACTGACAACACATAGCTGAAGTTTATTGTTTCATGATTTTAATAGATAACTTCTACTCCCGTCCCAGAGTATTCCCAATTTGACACTTCTCAATCAAACTGGATGAAGTTTCACCAATTAAACAAAAATTGCACTAAATATTAACATCATGAAGTAATTTTTTGAATTTTTTTTGCAAGATAGACCTAGTAAAATTATTTTTGTATCAATATGTAATGCAATTTTTATTTGATTGGTGACTAAAGTTCGCTCAATTTTTTTTTTTTGACTTCAAAAAAAAAGTTCGCTCAATTTGACAATGCTCCACGAATACTATGGGACAGAGGCAGTATTGAACAACATAAATTTTTTGGATAAATTCTACCAAACACAGAGACACTCGGACATGGACATGGCACACCTCACCACAAAAACTATATGAAATAAGATGAACAAAACAAATTGGCATACCGCATACAAGCCATACATAGATCATAATACATAAACAGAAAATATGCATCATAATAAAAATATATTGCTTATGAGATTCGTCTAATAACAGTTATGCCACACAAGTTTTGTGTAAGCGCCCCACCCTCCAAATTTATTTCAAGAACATATCAACAAATTTGCTTGATGAATTGTTCTTCGGATATTGCATTGGTATAATAGAGCAAGAAGGGACAACATCACAGATACCTTGAATGCATTTGAGCAATTTGTGACCATTCTTCATCACTTTCACCATTTGACTGATGAGAAACTTCCAAAACTTCAGAGCCTATTAAGAAGAACTACCCTTTAGGCTTTAGGACAAAGTTCAATGGAACCAAACATTGCAACAACCCACAAAAGGACTATACTAAATACAATAAGCATTAAAAGTTATTATTCACAAGTCCCAATGAACTCGCATCACTAAATTAAGTTAGATGCAAAAAAAAAATAACCGTGCAACACTAAGATGTATCATGTAACCTAAATTACCTCAAGATAATATGCTTGTTTTTGCTAATTCCACTTTAAAACAAATAAGAAAAGAATCCAAATAAAAACATCATGATATAGATAAGTACTGAACTTTTACTTGTCAAGATACAGGATTAGAAGAACACTTATTCAAATAGGAAGTAATGTATGTAAGGGCATCATGTCGTACCATCAGTAGATTGAATAATTGATGGATTCTTCTCAAGAAGAGCCTGCAAAAAAGTAGCTTAGATTTTCAGGTGAATCATAGCACAAAATACTTAACTGTATCCAACTCTATCAATATAGAAATATTTAAAATATTAAAAACACAGTTTACACTAGATTATTAAAGGCGAATTCACAAGTTAGTTTGCTTTTGCCATCCTACCTCTTGTAACTCCAATATAGACTCCAAGGTTTTCACTGAGGAGCCAATTAGATCTGAATATGCCTCACCAACTTCATCACCATATTCACAAAATGAAGACTTCATTGGCTCCTGAAACAAAAACACTTCAATTTACCATAATGTTGACAATAACAACGACGACCCAATATAAGCCCAACTTTGCTGATGCGGGAGTCAAGATGTATGCAAGATTTTGGACCTGAGGAAGTCTATTGGAGCTTGAAAATGCTTTCTGCAGCAAGAACCTTAACTCAAGAGTCTTGTCCCAAAGAGCCTTTGTAAAATCAAAAGAATATATATCAGAATAGGATTTTGACTATGAAGCTAGGAAAAATTTATGAAAAGACATAATAATGAAATGGTGATAATGGATAGGAAAAAAACAACAGTGGGACCAATAACGAAGTAATATGAATCTCTAAGTATTGAAGAATTGGATGGACGAGAGGAATATTGTTGTGCTGAATCTTTAAACATTAATGCAACTTGTTTTAAACCATAAATAGCACACATTATCCAAAAACATATATAGTAGTGAGTCGAGCACTTTATAATAAATAGAACCCCCAAGAACATCTATATGTAGACATAATATGAAGGCTTAGAGCAAGTGGCAACACATCATTCTGAATCATGGTTTCACATGGAAAACACAACTGCATATAAAATGATATTCAAAAGCATCAAACAGCATCATACCTTCTGATTTTTCACTGCTTCTCCTTTCAAAATATCCTCATTCTTATGGCTTTTTAGATTTCTCAATAGATCTCTGTGAATAAATGGCAGAATCGAGTTATGATTACATTTTGATTGGTAATTTATCACTTATGCATAACTTTTACAATAACCCATTGAATGATTACACTAGTTTGGCACAGATAAATAAAAGAGGGAGGAAGCGAGAAATGGGGAAAAGAAAATAACCCATGTCTGACCACTTAAACGTGAGAATATTTTCAAATGAATACCAATGGCATTTTAAGTGCATATCGAAGTTTTTATCACAGTCTTTAATCATTTAAACGTGTTTACTTACATCAAGTCTAGATGCTTTTAAAATGAGTGTGAAGTGCTAATTTATTTGCAACAATGCACATATGTCTGTGGCAATTGGCCTAATGCCAACAATGCTATTAAAATGTGGCATGTGCCTTATCTTTTAACATTTCACTGAACATCATATGCTAAAAAAATCATAACAAATGTAAACCCAACTCAGTAGTTCACTTGAAAGGGGCATAATTAAAGGAAAATGAACTTACTGCTCTTTTTGCTGAAGCTTCCTATAGTCATTCTCAAGCTCTTCCATTTCAGCATTCTTTTGCAACTCATTTTGTTCCCCTTCATCATCTTCTTCATCTTCTTCCCCAGAGCCATCATTTTCAAGGCTGTCCCCTTCCTCATCATCTTCTTCCCCAAAACCATCATTCTCAAGACTGTCCCGTTCTTCTTCATCATCTTCACCGAAATCATCACTTTGATGGTTTCCCTCTTCATCATCACTACTCATATCATTTTGCTCTTCATCCTCGACCTCATGAGATGTATTATATCTCATTTCATCGGTGTCAAATTCAGAATCACTTTCACTTTCCAACTTGGTCTGTCGGGATTGCTTTTTAGATCTCCCCATCTCTTTTAACACCAAACTCAAAGGGCAGGTTGTCAGTCAATTGAGAAGATTAATAGAAATCTTGAATGTTTGGCCAATTACCAGACAAAATAGCTTTCTCGCGTCTTGGTATCTGCAAATTGTACACAAATGGAATGGATTAAATTAGGGGTATATTTAACAAATTGTGAATCACATGATAGTGCTTAACCAGATTTTAAATTCGGGTTTGTGAATCCATTATCCATTCATTTGGCACTATAAAATTCAGAACTATACTAAAGAAAATCCCGGATATCAATTTAATACCTAGAACATGAAGATGCTCAAAATATTAGTAATAAGCAGTTAAATTCTAGTATGATAAATTAATTTAAATTCATCCACTGATGCGGAAGCCCAAATCACTGAATTATGGTAGTTGATGGGATAAAGCAGATAATTCGCATATGTTAACCAAAAGAAGTACACAAAGTCACAAACTACAAACTCTGTCAATCATAAAAACTAACCATATGAAAACACTCTGCAACGCAACGAAAAGAGATCTTCATTGAAAAAAAATCAATTCGTTAAGCTTTCCTTCAACAAACTACAAAGAAATATGTATTCCAATGATCAATTTAAATACTCTCTCCTTTCTTAAATAATCACCGCAGTTTGACTTCATTGAGTTTAAGAAAGGTGTTGAAAAGTATAATGTGAGTGGTTGAAATTTGACTAAAGAAAAGAGAAAGATTGTGATTATTTTCTTAAGAAAGTGAGGTAGGCTAAAAAGAAAAGTGAAACTATTAACTCAGAACTGAAGGAGTAATAAATTTAAACAATTCAACGGATATCAGAAGAATTAGAAACTAAATTCATAGAGTTAGATACCTTTCCGCAAAATAAATCTAGGATATCAATAACGAATAAATTTATATTAAAAAATGAGCTTGAGAAATAGACCCTATCCTCCCTAATCGAACGATAATAAGATTTTTAAGGGATGCGGACGGTACCAAAAGGAGCTTGAGAAACGAATGATTATGATTTTTCGAGGATAAATGGTTACCAGAGGGCGCCGCGGCGTTGCATGATTATGATTTTAGCTGCAGGTCAGGCACTCAGCAAGCAAGACGATGAAGAGTGTTTTTGTTTCTTTTATTTATTGGTATTTATTTAAGGAATTGGGCCTCATAATTCTTTACACTATAACACTACTAACGCAGAAGGATCCATCGTCGAAGCTACCATCCAATGTCGCATCTACCTTATTACCAATAGACGTTCCAAAAGAATGATCATCCCTCCAAATGAAGCCATCATCTTTATATATAAAATTTGAGAGTTGTGCTTCTAGAATTGTGACATGTGACACGTCTATTGATCATTTTTTTGACATGTCAGTAAGCCATGTCAACAAGTATGTAATTTAGCACATAGGTTCCTTTCTTTCATATGAAGGTCATTTGTGATAGGACCCAATTTGATTTCTTGTTGTACTTTCATTAATTCCTCTCTGGTGTCATCCACCTGCATGTACCTGCATGTGAATGCCTCTGAAATCAGCCATCTGTAACTCCCTTAAAGGCTTTTTAAGATTTTTCAGATTCAGAACCAGTTGGTACATATTTCTATGAGAATCCTCATCCCTCCCTTTCTGCTTCATAATCTGGGGTATCAAGGGGTCTTCCAACCACATATTGCAAAACCTAAATGGTTTTGAATTTCTAGTACCAAGAATATTAGTCACCATTAATGGGGTGTGGTCAGAGAGACCTTATTCGGAACTCTTGTTTTAATATAAATTTTCAACATTCACTTGTCATTAGAAAAATCTCTGTCTAATTTTGACCAAATTCTATTCTCTGGGATCTACTTATTAGACCATGGGTAATAGAGGCCTACAAAAGGGATTTCTTCTAAGCCACTATCCATCACACATTCCTTGAAGTCCTTTATTTCATCTTCTGTAACTGGATTTCCTCCTTTCCTGTACTTAACTTCCAAAACATCATTAAAATCACCAAGACAACACCATGGTCCATTTATATGCTCAGAGTAGGCTTTAATTTTGCTCCAGAGTTGTTTCCTCCCCCCTTGATCATTAAAAGCATAAACAAATGTAACCCAATAGTACTCATTATTCTCCAGGTTCTTAGGTTTACAGTGGATGGCTTGTGCATTGCAATCCACTATCTGAACATGAACCTTACTCGTATTCCAGACTACCCAAATCCTTCCCATAAGGTGATGCTCAATGTTTGTAACATATCCCCAATTACTGAACATCCTTTTTAAAATCTCCTCCTCCTTGTCTTTCCTTATTTCTGTTTCCAAGATACCCATGATACTACTACTATTTTACTCCCTCCGTCGCATATCTTTCTTCTCACTTTCCTTTTTGGGCCGTCCCACTTGTTTCTTCCCATTTCCTAAAATAGAATTAAAACACACTTACACTTACCATTTTACCCTTCCTTTTTCTCTCCCAACCCCTTCTTTTTCTTTCCTTCGTTAGACCCCAACCCCCCCCTCTCTCTTCTTTTTTTTCTTCTTTTTCACCAACCCCCACCCTTCGAACTCTCTCTCTCTCTCTCTTCTCATTTTCTTCTTCTCCGTTAGACCTCCCCCCACCCCGTCTTCTTCTTCTTTTTCTTCCTTCGACCATCACCCACCCTTCTCCTTCTTCTTTTCTATCGTCAGATCTCCCCTGTCTCCCATTCTTCTCCTCTTTCTTCTTCTTTAATTTCATACATTTGATTTTGAATTTCTTCAATTTCTTAGATAATCTCTTAGATTTGATTTTAAATTTCTTCAATTTCTTAGATTTGATTTTTAATTTCTTCAATTTCGTAGATTTGAAATCTAGAATTTTTTAAAGCATTTGAAATCTAGATTTGTTTTTTAATTTCTTAGATTTGACTCTGGTTGAAGGAGGGGAGGGGACGAAGAAGAACAATTGTGGAGCTAAAGAAGAAGATGAATAGTTTAGTTTGTGTTTGTGATGCACTAATGCTCAGACACTTTAGAGAGCAGGGTGGTGGGTAGTGAAAAAAAAGAAGAGTATAAAGGAGAGGGTAGTTGAAGGGCAAAAGAGGAAAGTCAATACTTTTTCACTTTACATAAAAATCCGTGCCAAGTCAAAACGGGAAGTTTCAACTTGGACGGAGGGAGTATTAATAATACTCTTTATTTCCCACTGCTTATTGGGGTTATTTAAACCCCTAATATTCCAACTAAGCATCATGTGAGAAAAGAATAATGACCTGTATAAGGGATATTCTTTAGGTCTCCCTTAAGCAGCTCATCAATTGTTATTCTCATTGCACTCTTCTTCTTACTTACCAGCTGAAAACCATCTTGGTCTTCCTCTTTGCCGGTCCTGAGAATTAAACAGCCTGGGCCGAGATAAAAAAAAGACCCTAAATATCTTATCCCTAAAAGTCTAACAGATTAACATATGTAAACTAATTATATATAAATGACAATTAACGTAATATCATTAGAAGAAAATAAATAAACGACCAAAGCATTTCTTATCCGGCTTGAGACTTTCTCAATAATCTTCATCTCGTTTTCTCTTTTTACTTTTTTTGACTACCGGATAGATGTTTAGGACCCATAGCTATTGAATTATTTCTGAAATAAAATTCAAATTCATAAATTTTACTACTTAGTAAAATCAAATATGGAAAAGCAATCAGATAAATTCATATATCATAAACTCATATCAATTGATTCAATTCATCATTTTTTCAGTTTTTTTCTTTTTCAGTTTTTAGTCTTTTTATATACTCCGTATATATCTTAAATTCATGTCAATTTGTCAGTTTTTCAGTTTTTTTTAGTTTTTCAGTTTTCAGAGTTTTTTTATATATATCATAAATTCAAATCAATTCATCCAAATCAAATAAAGAATATATGGAACCATTAATTCATTCATATTTCATAGCAATTAGCAAAGATTTCAAACTAAAAAATAATAATTAACCCTAGATTATAAATCCAAAGAATGAAACAATGAAAGAAAGAAAATTAGAAAAAAATTACTAAATTAGAAAGATAGTGAATATGGAATACCTGGAGGGTGCAGCGGCGTCTGGAGGCAGCGGTGGCGGCGTCTCTCTACCGGCGGCGTTCTCAGCAGTCGGCACTCCCTTTCCGATTCGGTTTGGGCAGTAGCTACGTCTCCAGCTTCTACGCCTCGCGTTAGTTGTCTGTAGGAAGGGATGGGGCGGTTAATGAGATGGGCTTTTGACATATTGGGCTGGGTGCTGGGCTTCTTATATACATACATATAATATTAAAAAATAATTGAACCCCTTATAATCATGGGTCTCCCTCTATTGGGCCGGCTCTGGAGCAAATTGTAGATTACCATTCATACATCACTTCTTGTGAGATGACCTTGTCCCCTTCATCAATAAAGTTAATCATATCAGGGAACTCTTGTTGTACTTGTACCTCCACTTATACCGACCTGACGCGAACCGATTATAACATATATCCGAAAGTGAGTCCAGTCATTGGATATACTCTTCCTCCCTAAGAGCATCATTACTCATTCTTCTCTCTTCATCTTCAATGTTATTTACTTCTAATATCACATCGTTTTCTCCCTCTTCTCTAATCATTTCTCTTCTTTTAATTATTCTTCATTTGTATAAAAGAAATTTGTAAAAATAATTGGTCAATCACATTTTTCTTTCTCTTGGGGAATACTATTACCCCATCCTCGTCTCTCTCCTCTATTCCCTTCCCATTCTTAATTATTTTCTCTTCTTTCTACTTCCACATCATCTTATTTTCCTTTCATTCTTCTCCAAAGGAATTAAACCACATGATATGTCTCCATTAATTAGTGTCATAAAGTTGCGGCTTGTCTTAGCATGCAAGAATTTAAATCCAAGATTCTACTTCCTAACAAAGAGCAAAAATCAAAACCGGGTGAGCGTGGTACCGCATGGTACGGTATTTAGCTCGTACCGATATCGTACCAAATATTTCGGTTCGGTATGTGTTAAAATATAAATAACTCATCTTGGGCCACTACCACAAGCTTGAGCTTTTGGTTGAATCGGTTCCTTTACATGGTATCGGAGCAAGTTTTGAATTCTTGAGACCTCAAACACGCTTCTTACCCTGCCGGTGGGCATACACAATTCAATGTCTATCGACAGGATATTATAATTTTTGATTTTCTTTGATTGTTCTCCCTCACTAAAAAAATGTCATGAACTCCTTCAACAAAGAACATTGTTGTCGAGGTATCCCGCCTGATGGTGTAAATTACCACGCAAATATTAAGTGTGAGTAATCGGAAGGGTTGTAGGTGGAATCACCTGTAACCCGATTTGTTATTAATGATAATAGGAGTTATTACAAATACAAGCCGTGTAGGTTAATTCAAACATGCCTCACAAATGAGGCTTTTAAGGGTATTTATAATAATCTTAAGCACGTCAAGCACGTCTCTGATTATCCAACCGGTCAGGCGGCTGACCGGCCCACCAGGTGCACTTTGAAAGTAGATCTTCGGGTATTGGCGTCTGGTCTCCCCATCCAACCGGTCAAATAACCCGGGCTGAAAAAGACGCGTGCTGTTCGGTGAACCAACCGGGTGGTATCCTTGGGTTATTACCCATCACCGCCCAACCATCAATCTTGAAGAAGTTGTCCGAGAAGGATTGTTCTACAAAGATAGACAACTCTTTCCTTTGCAAGCAATAAAAAATTCGTCGTTCAAGGTGTTCGAAAAGAATGGTGTTCCCCCTGTTTGTTCGAATACGGTGAAGGTTCGAGAAGAATGGCGTTCCTTTACTCGACTGATTATTGGCGGATTCGAAAAGCTTGGCGTCTCCGTTAAAGAAAAAACTGAAGTGTCTAGATGACACTTGGACAACGATGGCAGCGGCTTCCTCAAGCTTTGTTGCTTTATTCAATCTTTTGATGTTCAAGCTGGGCATGTTGAACTCCCATGCTCCAGCTTGAGGGGAGTGTTGGAGATAGAAGAAGGAAGTCGGATCAAAGAAGGAAACGGAATCCCTTTGGGATTCGGTTTAGTATCTTTCCTAGTTTGCTTAGTTCTTGTTATAGTAGGAATAGAAATATGGTAAAAATAAAAGTTTACTTATATGCTTTACTCTTTTCCTATATAAAGAGGGTTAGACATTTGTATTCAAAAGCCAATTCAATATACGAACTATTTTTTCTCTTATTAATTTCTACATGGTATTGGAGCCTCGTTGACTAAGAGATCACGGGTTCGAAACTCTGCGCCACCTAGTTTAAAAAAAATTAAGGTTTCATGTGCAAGGCTCGAAAAAAACTACGCCTGCACGTGAGGGGGCGTGTTAGAATATAAATAACTCATCTTGGGCCACTACCACAAGCTTGAGCTTTTGGTTGAGTTGGTTCCTTGACATGGGATTTTACGTTGTACCGATACTGATCCCAAGGCATCGGTTCGGTATCGGTTTCGGTACAAATCCGGATGAATATATACGTACCTAGTTTATATCATAAAATGTAAAAAAACCTTTTATTTTTGAAAAACCAAAAGTACATTTAATCAAAGAAAGATAAAAAATTTAAAAATGAAAAAATAAAATGCAAAAAATGCTTATGAAAGTTAGTTTGTACTTCACAAACTTAAGAGAGAGTGATAACAAAGTATTATTTCAAATATTTGTTAATATTCTCATACTCATCTACAAAAAATAAAAACACTCTTATTAAAGTGCAACTTAAATATAATGAATTTAAACTAAATTGTCTATATAAATTTTATATTTAATGAAAAAATATAAAAAGATTACTATTTTTGTAATATATAAGTATATATGTTCGGTTCGGGAATTTCGGTATGAGAAGTAACTCGTACCGTTCCCAAATGCCGGACTGACCGTTCGGTTCGGTACGGTTCGGTTTCTTTTCAGTACTTTATCAGTTCGGTATTTTTCGGTTCGGTATTCTCGGTTTTTTCGGGAAATATCGGGATCGGTTCGGTCCTTGCTCACCCCTACAAAACCCCAACTGAGCTCTATGTGTTAGGCACAATAATACTAGCTCCATATACTCCCTCCGCCCCCTATTGAATACCACACTTCAAACAACCTGTAAAATTCAATCGTTTTTAAAATTATTTTAATTACAAATTAGCATAAAAATAAAAAGTATAACTTACCGCATTTAAAAGTACATAAAAAAACTTTATAAAGCAAAATGTGAATATAATATTTTATTTTATCAAATTATTAATGAAAAAATACAAACAAAAAAAGTTATCGAGAAATCGTAACAGTGACAGTAACATCTAATTCATGATGGAGGGAGTATATTTATAGTAGTGTAGAGACGGACTTTGAAATAGAGTATCTTTTTCCACAATCTCTAAAGAAAACTCATGGGTAATGATTTGACTTGATTTTTTGAAGATCTGGAACGATCAGATTAACTCTAATCTGATTAGATCTGATCTAGTCAGATCAAATCTGACTGTAGTTATACTCACTCTGTCAAACAATAAATTTCTCATTTTGAACAATGTGTAAAATCCCATCTTTTTTAAAATTACTTTATTTACAAATTAGTATATCATAAAAAAATCCAAACTACATTGTTTAAAACTACATTTAAAATTCTAGAAATAAACTGTGACAATAATATTTTATCTTACCAAGTGATTGATGAAATTATACAAACAAACATAAATTATTGAGAGTCCGTAATTGTAGCTGAGATGTTTATTGTTAGACAAAAAAATTATTTAAAATTGTTTCTGATCTCATTTTAATAAAAGTAAGTAATAAGCAAAAAAATAAGTTGAACATAACAAACCCTTAGCAAAAAATTGAATTTTTAGATTTTATACTAGATGGAAAGTGTACAGATTTTTAATTGAGCTTTTTTGGAAATTAAAAAAGTTTGGCTGAAATCCATATCCAATTTTTTTTGGATCCCCAAACATTTATTTTGAGTCAAATCTAAATTTGAAATTTGAATCTTAGTTCTCAAACATGCCAATAATGAATTTGAGACTTTGTGCAATTAATTAATTTTTTGAACATTTTGCTCCTTGTAGTATATGAATCCTTTGTCTCAATTTAAATTGTTCATTCCAATTTACAATGTTGATTTAAATTATTTTCAATTGAAATTGGTGTAAAAATCTATTTCAAGTAATGTAACCTTCTGATTTTTCGGGATTGGTGTAGTTGCACCACACACAAACACACAAATTATATATATATATATATATATATATATATATATATATATATATATATATATCAAAATAAAGTTACTCTTTTACTTGCGTGTAAAGGAAAAGAATACAATGTGACATAACATTTTCTCTTTCTAACACTTTTTCTTAAACACTGTGAATATTGAACACTGTGAATATTGAACAGACACCCTACTATTTTTTCTCTCGGACACTTTTCTTGAACACTGAAACACAATTGATAGAGTGCCAAGAGTGGAGAAATTCGTTATATAGAATAGATATAGAGACAGACAGCAAAAAAACAGAAAAGAAGAAACTTGGAATCAAAGTTAAACACTAAGTACAGTCTATTAAGGAAGAAGCTAAGTTATACCCCAAAAACAGCAGACATTAATGGTAAGATCTGGTCTGTGACCTCCCTCAAGTATCAATGTGAAGCAGAAGAAACCTCAATATTCCTTTTTTTTCACAAAGATTAAGGTTTCTCTCTTCTCTTAAATTCTCCCAAGAAATGAAGAACAAGAAGAAGAAGAAGAAGAAGCCAAACACCTCCCAAGATGTCACCTCTTCCAAACTTTCTGAACTTTAATCACATCAGGTCCCCTCCCCATTTTAACCCTCCCAGGCTCATTCCTTCTCATCCAGTAGCTGCCTCAAACTTGTTTTTTTCGAGTTCTAAACACTTTGAATGCCCCTCCTCTCACTCCCCTCCACTCACTTTGAATCAGGTATGTGTTCTGCAATTAGTTAGGAGGGTGTATTCAATTAAGATTTTAAAACATTTTGATAGATTATTTAGAATCTATGGATTATGTAAAATCCATGAATTGTTTTAATTCTACGTAGAGTTTGATAGATTTTATGAGTAGGATTCTAAAAGATTTGCCAAATTGTTAAAATCCATGAATTTCCTGGGAAAAAAAACAATTTTCTTCGGAAAGTGTTTTTCATGAAGATGAATTTTCTTACCAGATTTTCTTTCGTTTGGTGTAAAAAAAATGAAAAAAATATGGTACAAACTACAAAAAAG